CTCGTTTTGGTACGCTGCACAGGTACAGAATATGTGCTCAGGTGTTAAGTTGGCACCACATCTATTACACAAGGGTGGTACTTCACCCTTCAGCAAATAACTGTGCGTTAGAGCAGTGTGTCCCAACCGGAGCCGATACAGCTTGGTCGAGTGCAACCGTTCCACGTCTAGTAAAAATAGTGGCCCAATATTTGGTTTAACTCTTTTCAATGATGTATTGGTCCGCGTCCACTGCTCCTGCCAGCGCTCATACACACTTCGCTTCACAGCCACCTTCGTGAGGTCTACAATGTTACCGTCCTGCAAATGTAACTCCTCTATACATTGTCTTGCTCTTTCTCCTTGAGTTTTATATAAACGTGTAATTCTATTAGTCATTAAATTATAATTTGGATGTTTATCGTTCAGACGTACTTTCAGATAGGGATCAATGCCTTATATATATCGAGAAAGGATTTAGGATGAGCCCCCCATTTGAGGTGTGATACTCTTAAAACGTTTAACGATTTCCTACTTGATGTTAGTAGGTTCTCCAAGTGCTTGGTCCATCTTAATTCCCTATCAAATGTGAGTCCTAAAAATTTAATTTCGTTGGGTACACTTATTACCTGACCATTTAAAAACATTACAGGGTCATAATGAGGTTTACGAAGCCTACAAAAATGCATCGCTTTGGTTTTTTCCTCAGAAAGCATATACCCTACTGCATCTGCATTTGTAGCAATTTGGTTGATGGAACCTTGCAAGTTACGCACTACACTGCCTATAGTTTTTCCAGCAAGGCATATCATCAGATCATCGACATATAAACATCTGTCGACTTGTTCAGCAACTCCTGAGGCTATTTCGTTTATTGCGATTGCAAAAGGGAACAGCTTAAAGTTGATCCTTGTGGCACCCCATTCTATAAAATGTATTCCTGGGAATAGGTGTCTCCGATTCTGACGGCAAACCGCCTATCTTCTAAAAAGGAACGTGCAAACTTGGGTAAATTACCGCGTAGATTATATTTTGACATATTCCTTAGAATTCCATGCCGCCACGTCATATCGTACGCTCCTTTAATATCAAAGAACACCGCTACCAGGTGCTCTCCATCATCGAAGGCCCTTAGGATTCTGTCACTCAGTTTGACCAAGTGATTAATTGTTGACCTGCCATGCTGAAAGCCCGTTTGATATGGTACCAAGATGTCGTTAGTTTCCAAAAATGATTGCAGCCGCCGGTTCACCAGTTTCTCTAATAGCTTACCCAAACATGACGTTAAACTGATTGGGAGATAGTGGTTTGGCGATAATGGATCCTTTCCTGGTTTGAGTATGGGAATTACAACAGCCTTTTTCCATTCTGGAGGGTAAGTACAATTTTCCCAGCATTTGTTAAATAATATTAAAATTTTTTCTTTCATTTCCCGACTACAATGGCGGATCATTTGATTATGAATTCCATCGTATCCCGGAGAGCAAGATTTGGTGCTCTTGATTGCTGACTCCAGCTCTTCATACGTAAACGGTAGGTTGTAATCTAAACTTTCTTGTGTTTCAAAATCCACAAGATTTGCTTCCTCATTAGCTTTGGTTGCAAGAAAAGTTTCTGAATAATTTAAGGAGCTGCTAACTTGAAAAAAATGGTGCGCAAGAATGTTTGATATTTCCTGCAAATTGTTGGTCATTACCCCATCTGAATTACGGATAAATGCCGGATAATTACATCCAGTTTTACCAGATATAGCTCCAATCTTTCTCCATATTTCATTGGTGGTAGCATCGGATGTAATGGTGGACACATATTGTTGCCATGATCTCCTTTGCGCTTCCAGAAGTTTTCTACGACACTCCGCTCTTTTTTTTTAAATTCAATAAGGTTCTCCAATGTAGGATGACGGCGGAATTTGTGTAATGCTCGCTTCTTTAATGAAATTTTTTCTCCTACTTCGGGAGACCACCATGGGACCATTTTAGTCCTTTTGTGACCTTTGGATTTTGGAATACTAGCCTCCGCTGCATCCAGAATGGAAGATGTAAGAGTTTGAAGATTAACTCGCTCCTTTATTAATCCAAACCAAAGAATTCATATATCTAAATATCGAGTAATAATTCTCTATTTTATCGTGTAAAAAAATCTCATTTAATTTTTTCAAGAAAAATCACAGTATAAATTGCAGTTAACGCCCTCTAGTGACGACCGTAATAATTACCAGGTATAAGATATAGGCTGTTGGTAGGCCAAATAAATCTCCCTTAAATGTTTGCTAAAAGCTAAACTTGAGAAATCAATATTTATTTAAAAAAACATTTGATTTTCCCCTACTACTTTATTCACAAGATAGGAAAAAAAAGTAAACAAAAGAGAATGGTTTTATGTCAGGATTAACAACTCTGCTATAATATCTTTTATACAGATGTCGGTGCAGTAAAGGAATGCGCCTGCGGCTATATTCCAGTAGCGCACCATTTCAACATACTTTAGGGTTTAAGGCTAGGATCTAATACGTTTCTATGAATACATTTATGTCTTACTAACCTATCATAGCACATTTTATATCTGTGATACGCGGGGCATTAAGTATCACCATAGTAACTCATTTATACTTAATGACAAAACAAACAAATATTTGCAGGTCATTGAAAATTAGAAACGTCAATTATTAATTGTCAATACCTACTAAATCACAATATTGGCCTTATTTCGTATAGTTTCTGGAACTTCTTGCTCATTCACGATGAATTGAATTATTTAAAATTACGTTTGGATGGCTTCAATCACATTAACAAATTCGAACCACGCATTCGCGATCAAACATAATGAATTATTTTGTACCTAAACGAATTTTGACGAACAAAACTATTTGTAAGACATAAAATTGTGTATGTACCACGAGCATAAACTGATGTTTATACTCTCGGGCGACTAAAAAGCTCTCGGGCCATAGGCCCTCGAGCTTTTTAACTCGTCGCCCTCGAGAATATAAACATCACTATTATGCCCTTAATACATAAATAACTATTATGATATCTATATACATTTTAATAATAAAGAGTAATGATTATACATGGTAATTACACTTGGTTTAATTGCATACATTTCTGGAACGCATTCTTAATAATTTGTACTTAATGTGCATGAGTAATTGTTTTACCCGTGCACATTTTAAACATGTAAATAAAACCACTATAAGCTCATTAACTATTGTTTATTTTAGATTTTATATTATTTTGCCTTTATTTATGAGTGGGCGGGGTTTCCGCCTTTTCGTATTTGTGCGCTTTTAAATACTGGTTTTCAAAAGGAAATTGCGTCGCGGCTCTAACATTTTTTGGTAAGTATATGCACATTCCTTTACTGCACGGACATCTGAAACGGAGTTTAGTTTCTAAGATTTGGCCGGCGGGCATTCTTATTTGGCCACCCGGTACTTTAAGCGATGGGAAAATGTAATATGTAGCTTTGCAGGACATTGCGTCACAACAGGTCACTTTCCCAATATCTTCCAGTTGTGTTAACTTTTTAAACAAATCTTTGCAAAATTTTCAATTATTAATATAAGTGAAGGATGACATCCAATTTACGAATAAATTACACGTCCCAAAGTGATGATCGAGCAACAAGGAAACTCATTTGGAATAATTATTAATGTACGACAAAGATACCAATTTACTAAAATTCAACGTTTAAAATTTAAAGGGGTTTTGTATGCATAAGGAATTTATTGTATGGATATACTGAGCCCGTTTAGGTGCTTTACTACAACCTGAAACTGTACTGTAATACACAATCCACACTTTAATTCCATCGCAATTTCCCGTTATAGCGAACATTTGCTAAACCGCAATTCTTACGAAATCTTTTGGGAAATTTCACATACTCTGCATTTGTAAGATTTGTTCTTACAAAAATGAATGTGATATCGTAACAAAAACTGTGCTCTGCTCTTATTAAATATTTTTATCAATTTTTAATTGCAGAAACAACAGTTGAGGGGCCTCTACTGTATTAAGGCGGTTAACAAACCCAGTATCGAACGTTTTCTTATACAGCTGGTTTGTCGCGCCGATTTGCAAGCATTCTGCACAGTGAATAATTACAGAGAAAACTGTTACGCGAAGTTTGTAAAAGTACCGAAAGGTGTCACACTGAATACCATTTCTGAATTATTTGTTGTACTTCGATTATGAAGCATCATAGTTTCTCTCCTACAGAACAAGATTTCAATGGGAAAGTGTTCTTTTTGGTTCATGTATGGAGATCATTTTCTATAACTTAGTTTTACAGATTGATGGATGGATGGCGCAGCGTGTTGCATTTTATATTGGGATTGAATTGAAATTATTATTGTTTTATTAGAAACATTTATGGTTTTTTATACGTGGTGACTACTCCCAGCTAATTACTTACTCATTATCGTACAGGTTATCAATTTTTTTTATAAATTAACTTGAGGAGGTCATAGAAATCTCGAAAAAGCCATTTTTCCTTCAAACGTCGAAATAGGCGGCACAGTTTGACATCGCTAGATCAGATTTTATTTTTCCTGTCCCTGTCTCCGGACAAGTGATATGGAATAAATGTAATCTCAGATATCTAACATTCATTTTTCTTATTTTACAAGATATGGGAACAACATGTTCTAATTACACATACTTATTCCGCTTTGCCAAGTCAGCTCATGGTAGTTTTAAAGGCTGTTTTTGTCAAGCTTGTCGTGTTAGAGGCAGCATGGCGCTAATAATCTTGCAACATACACAATGCGTGCAACTGATAAGGCTCTCGGAAACTATTCCCCCACCTCGCACCTATCGATTTTTCGTGCACTTTCAGTTTAAAAAAATTAAAAGTGCACTTTTGTGCTCTTGATATCTATCTGTTTAATTAATAAATCAAAGTATAATAAAAAACCTATAATTTTTATTGTTTTTCTATGGGCTATCGATTTCGCCTTATAGGGCTTCATCAGGCCGTAGCTGAAATATATATATATATGCTAAACGCGTGAAATTTTTCAAAATCTATCTTACCGTCTACTGAATTACATTTTTTAACAAGATGGAAATGTATGATGTAATGTCCATATTTTTATATAAAATTGAATGTATGGGTGAGCGCTGAAATTGAATTAAAGGTTAGTAAATCGTATATCAGAAATAAATTAATTACTTACATGTTTTAAGTGTAGTGTGTGTGTGTATCAGTATGTGAGGTTATGTATGAGGCAGTGGCGTGTTATGTGAATGGGCAACGTATTTATAAAGATGATTATCATTGAATTCAGTTATGTCATTTATTAATTTGAAATTAGGATCTTGTAACGCTTTGTGAATTTCATAGTGTTCTAGTATTGTTAATTTTTTGTA